GGGGTGAGACAGACAAGACGATCGCGGATGATTTAGTTTCGAAACGAGATGCAAAAGCGCCTGTTTGGCATTATTTTGGATTTTGAAAAGACTGTTGACTTTTGCCGTTTATCTAAGGTGATTTTGGAAGTTTTTTAAACATTTGTTTCTTATTTAATTGGTTCCACATTGTTTGCTGATTTTTACTTTATTTAACCTTTGTGTCATTTATTTATTTATTTTTACATCAAGGTGTATGCCGTGCCTGCAAGCTTTCTTACTCGTTTTGCTAATAAACGTTCTATGTTTCTTATTTATTTGGTTATATAATATACATGTTTACTTAGCCTATTTCCAGTTTTGTATACCTATTTAAACTTTATGTAAGTTATTTGTTATTTTATATTAGGCATAGCCTGCCCTATAGCATGGTGTATTTTTATTTGTTTTGTTAATAAAAGTTCTATGTTTTATATATAGGCTAAAGAGAGTTTGACGTTGTATTTTGTTGTTGCATTCAAGCAATTGACATGAACTGCCGCTAATTTGAAAGTGAAAGTAAAATGCACACGGTGCTTTTAAGCTATTTAAAAGCGAAGGAAAGCGAGGAAAAGAAGGAACGCCCCGCGGTGATACCGGTATTACCGGTGTTGTCACACGTCGATTAACCGGTGGGAAATTTTCCTCACCGTCACAACCCTATTTTCTTTTGCGCATTTCTGCAAATTTAGCAGTTCGTTCCGTGCATACAGAAAACTTGCATACTGCATACTACTTTCTTTGAAAATCAGTAGGTGGTATGGTATTCTGAACATAACTAATGTGAACAAGGTCCTACTTATTTCCAGTTTGTGGGCACCGACATAAATAATCGGAGTGCTTTTAAATTGTTTTGTTGCAATTAGAAATCACCACAATCAGTGTGATCAGTCAGCGTTGACAGCCATTAGCCGGTTGGTTACAGCGAATTAAGAGAGAGAGGGGTGAGTGATTCATTATCTGAGAGCTGTTAATGATGATCGGATGCATCGCCTAATTAGAGACAGGCCGGAGGATTGTGGGAAGGTCACACAAGGAGCCACAAATCTCTCTCTGTCTGAATCAGGGCAGGGGTTGTGAATACGGGTCTGTGTGGGACCTTGAGCCTGATTCACACCCTATGCGACTCAGGTATTACTGGAGTTGATTTCAACATGGCTACTATGCAGTTATGTTAGTTTACTTGATATTCTGTCTAATGGAATTGTTGCATACATTACTGCTCAAACATTTGGGGTCAGTAAGGTTTAAAAATAAATAAGTGCTTTTAAGCAAGGATGCATTAAATTGATCAAAAGTGACAGTAAGGTTTATAGTGTTACAAAAAAGTATTTCAAATTAATTTTGTTCTTTTGAATTTTCTATTCATCAAAAAAATCCTGAAATGCATCATGTAATATTTTAGTTTCCACAAAAATATGAAGCAGCACAACTGTATTCAACCTAATCAAAAGAATAATTGATAAAAATGTTTCTTTTTGTTTTTTTTTTAACAGCAAATCAGCATGTTAAAATGATTTCTAAAGGATCACTGGAGCTGAAAGAAGACTGGAGCTGAAAATTCAGCTGAATAAATTATGTTTTAAAATATATTCAAATAGAAAATACAGTGGTTATTTTAAATTGTAATATTTCACAATATAATATAATATAATATCAGTGATTTTGTTCAGTCATTATACATTGTATAAAGTGAATGCAGTTTTGTGAGTGCAATGTCTATAAAATGATTTTTAAAATCCATATAGAATACATTGCTTTGTAGACATTGAAAATAATCCATAATATTCTTTCAAGCCTAAAACTTAATGTAAACTAAAGTTTACATTTATCAATCTGTGTTTTCTTTTTCTATACCAACATATTATAATCGCATATTATAAGACGTTGAAGTTTATCTGTTTAACTTTACTGAAGGGTACAGTGTGCTTTCACTCCGGTCAAATACTCAAACAAACACTTTAAAAAGCCTGTCTCAGGTCACCACATGGCCCATAGATTCATCTTAATGGAGGTTCAGGGAATTCATATCACTTTCAGACCCGCGTTTCACTGACTAAACAATATTTGGAAAGTGCTGTCAAGGCGCTCTTTTCAATGACAAGCCCCCCTCTTTGCTATTAATTCCTAATGCTTCACCACAACAGGTGTCGTTTGCGGTCATTAATTTGCTTTGGTTAAAAAACAGCTCACAAATGAGCAATGCGCGCCGTCAGAGAAGTAATATATACCACCTCGCCTAGACACTAAGTCTGTCCCTAGAATGCCATTAAGGTGTGTACAAAGCAGGCCGCATCTCTCTCGACAGCCATAACGGTTTGTTATTATAGCTGCAAACATATGCTCGCACCCACGTCTTGCCGTTGCATTGTGCCGTCTGAATTATTTTCTCAAGACCATAAAGTTTTAACATGGCTGGATGCTGGTCAAATGGCAATCCTGAGGGAATCCTGTCTAGTTTAGTTATTCGCCTCTAATTAAACTGTAGGGGGAACATCACACAGACAAAAGGTGGGAGAGAGGCAATCATTAACAGCATGAAGCACCAACGATCCACTCTCAATAACATGGTTCTAGAAAATTGTCACGCTTAAATCCGCCTGCTAGACGGAGGCGTGCATCAGCGTATACCTCAGTGAGGTACACGTGACTGTGTAAATCGGCTAAATGTCACAAGACGCGAGGAGAGGACAGACGGCAGGCGGACTTCATATGTCCTACATATGTGCGGGGATTCATGAGTAATATTTGATATGCGTTGACCAGGTGTCTGCGGTGAAGAGTTCATTTGTGCTGTCACATCCGCTGTGGGAATTCTCTGATCCCATGTCAGGCTATGACACATGTTCGGTCTTTTCTTAAGGAGATTTATCCACCTATAGAAAGGGATTCTGTACATTCGCTGCCCAACTATTACTTCTGACTAGTTCTTATTTGGGAATGAAATATGTGAGCACTAAACCCTGCTTTACCAGTGTAGACACCTATCATCTGGTTATTTAGATTAAACAGACCGTCAAAGACCAGTGAGATTGAGAATGTAAATAAA